CCCCAAAACCCCAAAACCCCAAAACCCCGTATGGTATAATCTGGGAAAAATTGAAGAAATTTATAAAAGCATAAATGAATAATTTGTCATATTTTAAAAATCTAGCTACCAAAGCAGCATCCTCTATTAAGGACTATGCTCAGTCTTTTAACTTGTCTGAAAAGTAGTTTTTCAAAGAGTAGGGAATTTCAGAACAAACTATTAAGGACAAATTAGCGTCTTAATATGAATCTGAGATTTATGATGGAATGAAAACTATTTTAGCAGTAAGTTCCTTCATTTTCATCAGGATTATACTGAAATAATCAAATAACATAAAGAGACTAATACTTTATAGTTGATGTTAAATGGTAAAGATATCTCTAAATTCTTTCCTGATTCTGTAATATGCATGCCTAAACAGTCCCTCGACCTGAAGAAATTGTGCTATGTGATAATGACTTAAACATACAAAGATAACTAAGATAATGCGCTAATGCCTATCAATTTACTCCAAAAGGTAACAAATCTAGGCTTTATCTTAAATTATAGGAAACTCTGGTTAAAGAACCAACAAGAAGAGCAGATGCAATTAAAGTTCTTGGAGATCTAAGCTAGAATGAAGTGTATCCTATCATTTTCGAGATTGTCAAAAAGGGAATGTTAGATCCAAATCCATATGTCAGAAAAGTCTCCTACATCAGCTTGATTAAATTATCATAATAAACAGAGTTATTGTACTCAGATCATGACGAAGACATTTAACAGCTAATATCAAGAGGAATGCAAGACTACAATGTACTTGTATTTACTTCGGCACTGATAGCGGGTAGACAAGTTATGCCTCTAAGTGATTTTTTTAGAGTTTTACATCCCTTTATCAAAAGATTAGTAGAAGTCCTTGATGAAATAGATAATTTTGTATTGCCAAATATAACTTAAGTACTTGCAGAGTATTCATATTACTTTCTACTAAAATAAAATGATCAGCAGATCCTGGATGAAGTTTCAGCTTTAAAGAAGAGCATTAAAAAAGCAATGGATGTTTAATTGACTAATGATTCATCTTTATGCTTGCTAAACTTATTTTTATTCATCTCTCAAGTAAAAGATGTGGAGATCGATGAGTAAGATCTCATATTTTCAGTCAAAATTCTTAAAAGGGTAATCTCAGGGTTTCAATTCGATCAATTTCTAGCTTTAGATACTCTTTATTTGCTTATCTTATAAAACAGGGGAAAGGCAATATCATAGATTAAAGATATAACGATTCTGTTGAAAATAAAGGCGTCTGACATGCAGATTGTTGCATAAAAGAAAATTAAAATACTTCAAGAAATATATATTCTGTATGCCTCAGAAATATCTATTAACGAGATAATCATTCAAACTAGATCACCTAAGAAGGAAATAAGATTATCAGCTATTCACTCAATAGGAGAGTGTGGTAGATTGCTAACTCTATAGAATGATACTAATTCATTATCCCCAATCCAAACATAAACAATAGGCCTTATTCTCTAAACATTAATTAATTTATTAAGATAAAAAGATGACCAAATTATGACGGAGACAATAGTTGGACTCTAAAAGATGATAGTTAAAGGTGATTCTGAGTAAAGTCACGCAATCATACTATATTGTGTCAAAATCATTGATAAAATTAGCTCTGGAAGGGCTAAGGCTACTATGATATACCTGTTGAAGGAATTTATTGACAGATTCCCTTCACTTTCAAGAGAAACCTTCAGAAGATTGGTGGTTGGTTTCATTAATGAGACTGATCAAGATGTTAAAATGCAGATTATGAATCTAGGATGCAAGGTCTTGCTTAAAAACAAAGAAGAGTATAATGTGAGAGAAATTTTCAACTATCTATTGAAGGTTGCTTCGTATGATAAATGCCTCATTATCAGATAAAAATCAAGACTATTGTAGTAGCTTTTCGATTAAGATAACAACTTTGAATTGGAGGAATTATTCAAAAGTGAGGAGAGGAACATTAATTATTAAATCGAGAATGATAGCCTGGCTTAATTAAAAAATGCCTCAAATCTTCACTACTTAAATGTAGGAACATTTTAGCAAGTCCTGTCAGCTTAAGACATTAGTTAAATCTCATAATTTGAGGATTTGTAGCTCAATTAGGATTAAATTATGGATGCGCTAAGATTAAGATAAAATAGGACTCAGATTATTTCACCACATGATTCAGCTGGCACTAACTCGACTATCAGTGACTCTCCAATTAGAATCAAGTAGCAGACAGTTTAAGCGATGAGTAGTGAGTAATATAAAAGTTTGGACCAAGCCATGAAAAACAATTAGACATAGGATTTCAAAAAGTCTCACTTTACTGTAAAAGATAAGGACATTTTGAAAAAAGACTATGAAGATTTCTTTAGCTAAGATGATACTCTAAATGTTCCCTAAAAACTTAATACAAAAAAGAATTCTGCTAATGAATCACCTGGTAAGCAAGAAAATTCTAAGAAAGTTACTAAAAAGGCTGTGAATGATGATGACTACGAATATTATGATGAGGATGGTGAAGGAGATTAGACTGGTAAATAATGATTGATTGAAAATTTATTTTTAATCTTAATTGCATAAATAGCTAATGCTCATCATTATATGTTGCATCTTTAATTTAAAACTATAATTCCATATCTATTTACTCACATTTAGCTCCTTCTGCTTTGAAGATCCTTGATATATGCAGCCATTTCCTAACTTTTGCCAAAGTTTCCGTAATCATTACTTGATTAAGTGAAATTCTTATCTAAAATCTAAGAAAAAGGTGAGTCCTTGGAGGTTATTATTGGGTAATAGTTCATCTACTTTTCCTACTACATCTTCTTATATTATTCTGTATAATTAATCTCACCATTCTGAGAATTTTTAGCTAATTGATCTTATCTTAGAATAATGGGATTCATATTGTTTCCATTTTATTGCTATTAATAATACTTATCAGTCATTAAGGGCCGAAGATTGTCATATTTAGATGGGACTTGTATTTGCTTTTATTGGTCTCTAGCAGTGTAACTCCCACTTGCAGCATCTTTGTGATTCTGAATACTGAAATACACATTCTAAAGAGGTTTTTGTAAGCCTAGATGAATTTATTAAGTTGGAGACTATACTATATTTTCCTTTGATAAAGATGAATGGAGATTGTTGATATCAAGCTGTTGAACAGAGGAATTAATCCTCATTTAAGATAAATCATCTTCTTATTGCTATTTTTGAGGAGACTCTCTCATATTTGCTGTAGACTAATATCTTTGCTAATTATAGCCTCTTGACCTTCTACCGTCTTCATTATTAAAATCCTATTTGAGAATAGAGGCTTTATTTGGAATTCTAGAGGGAGTATTGTGAGTTAGAATGTTATTAGCTTCAAGACCATGGTTAAGTTTATTGTAAAAGCTATTGACATTGGGTATTTCTGGGAAGAAATTCGTGGTTTTAATTCCATATTTATGCTATCGATTAAACATTTTGTGAGTGGCTCCTTCGATATCATCAGTTCTCAGCATCAAATGCCTATCCCTTCTATCATCTTTTTAGTGCTTTACGAATTAGTCGTATTCATTATAATTTAAGACTTCTGGGTAAGAGTATAGATTTGGATTTTTAGTTATCTCTAAATTCCTTACTATCTGCTCCTTTACCTCTTCTTGATGTTGTTAAATTTCTGGTGGGATGTAATCTTAATGATCCCTATAAGTTCCTGCTGGTCCTAAATTAGTTCTGAGATGAGCCAGATTATGATGGCGTGCAGTAACTGAACCACCTTAATGCCTTGAGTAATCCATAAAGTTTATATGTTTGTATTTATAATTTTATTTATTTTTGAAGTTGATATATTAAAATCATGGGGTTTTGGGGTTTTGGGGTTTTGGGG